TCACAAATCGACGTCGTACATTTAACCATGAATGAACGTTATTTCAACGTCTGTTGGCTGCTGTTGAACCAATGTTTGTAAAACAACGTCAGAGCAACGTAGATATTAGGTTGTCGACGTCGTAACCTTTTTTCTACCAAATTTCAACGTTGAAACAACGTCGTGTGCCCGGTAGGGCATTCAAATTCTAACAATACGTTATTTCAATAGTTTGGGGTTTTTTGGGACACCCTGGATGTGATAAAAAGTCATGTTAATTTACATCAAACTTAATAGGCTTTGATTTTCTCCGTTTAGACAACGTTGATTTTGAAAATTATTTGGCCAATGAACTCCAAGTGATCTCGTGTTCGTATTTTAGCCAATCAGCGCTCAGAAAGGGTTGTCCGAATAGAAATCCATGTTGATGTATTCAGTCAATTATATCTTTCGTTATTCTTTATGAAACTAGTTGAAATTTTGTAATTATGTTTGGTTATGAGAACTCTACCTCTGACAAAAATATGGAATTGAAATAAAGTATATTACAGGAGATATTCAGTTGTTTTAATCATAAAATGGATTTCTATTTGACAACTAGTGCCAGTACTTTTCCGCGTATCAAGATCATCTGGCTCATATAATATATTAATATGGGTCGTTTTTTAAAGGTGATCTACAGTCCAATCTGCGCATGTGCACAAATGAGCCCACTTTTTATGATACAAACAGTTTAACTGTGTTTTGAGTTCTTGAAAAGCCTGATTGTTTTTTCTTGATCATTTATTATACTCTAGAAGCTTGAAAATATAAATAGTTGTCGAATAAAGCTCAATATTTTGGACACAAAAATGTAAACAAAGGCTTTGTTTACATACGGACTGTAGATCACCTTTGCTACAGTATTAAAGAGCTCTCAGTGCGAAGAGAATCTTCTCCCATGAGAATGTCATAATTCCCAGAAGCCATATTCATAAATAACTCATATCCAAACCCTGCCGTACACGAGAGCAACTTGCTGAGCTAACCGCCTCGCGTGGCAGCGGTCAAAGCGGAATTTATTTATAGACGTCCTTGTGTTAGCACTATTTCACATGGTTATATGACTGTGTTGAAGTATGTTTAGTGCTTTATCTGTAAATTATGCTAAAATGAAGAGATTTTAGATGGTACGCCAAAGAGAAAATGATGTCTGAAGTTCCGGCAGTAAGTTTGCTTATATTGCTGTATAAATATGGCGTCAATTTTAAAGCATCAATGACAATTGTATTGAAATTGGCAATATTTAACTGTTATTTGTTGTGTTTCTCAACCGCCAGATGCATTTAAAAAGGTTGCTAATTGTGTAAACTACAAAATAAAGCTAAAAGACCTAAAACAAAGTAATTTTGAGAGGATTTAGCACACATAGAAAAAATTCCCTCTTGTAATTTTGCGTGGCACAAAAATGAAAATATTACAGTTTTGTTTGTTTTAGTCTAGCTGCCATAATGCCATTGCATTTTTTATCTGCACCCCCCCTATTGAGGACATGTGGAATTTCCAATGACCCCCTGCAAAAGTGAACCAAAAATGAAGGAATTTCCATGGGAGGGTCCAAATTTTAAAGCAAATCTGCGGAAATTCCAAAGGGTAGGTAAGAAAAAT